CATCCAGATTGGAAAGGAAGAAGTAAAACTGTCATTACTTGCAGATGACATACTATATAGAGAAAACCCTAAAGAATCCATCAAAAAAACTGTTAGAACTAATAAATGAATTCAATAAAATAACAGGATACAAAATTAATATTCAGAAATCAGTTGCATTTTATATACCAACAACAAACTACCAGAAAGAGGAATTATGAAAATAATTCCATTTACAATTGCATCAAAAAGAATAAAAAAATACCTAGAAATAAACTAAACCAAGGAGGTAAAACACCTGTACTCAGAAAACTATAAGACACTGAAAAAAGAAATTGATGAAGATACAAATAAATGAAAGAATATATGCCATGCTCATGGGTAGGAAAAATTAACATCATTAAAATGTCCATACTACCCAAAGCCATCTACAGATTCAGTGCAAACCCTTTCAAAATACCAATGGCATTTTTCACATAACTAGAACAAATAATCCTAAAATTTGTATGGAACCACAAAAGATCCCGAATAGCCACAGCAATCTTGAGAAAGAATAAAGTTGGAAATATCACACTACCTGATATCAAACTATACCACAAGGATATAGTAATCAAAACAACATAGTATTGGCATAAAAAATAGACATATAGATCAATGGAATAAAATAGCCAGAAATAAACCCATGCCTATATGGTCAATTTATGACAGAGAAGGCAAGAATATACAATGGAGTAAAGAAAAACAGTCTCTTCCATAAATGATGTTGGGAAAACTGGACAGATACATGCCAAAGAATGAAACTGGATCACCTTCTTACACTATATACAAGCATAAACTCAAAATGGATTGAAGACTTAAATGTTTAGACCCGAAACCATAAAACTCGTAGAAGAAAACATAGTAAACTCTCTGACATCACTCTTAGTAATATTTTTTTGCATATGTCTTAGACAAGGGAAACAAAAGAAAACATAAACAAATGGGATGACATCAAACTAAAAAGTTTTTGCACAGTGAAGGAAACCATCAACAAAACAAAAAGATAACCTACTGAATGAGAGAAGATATTCACCAATGATCCAATAAGGAATTACTACTAAAAAATACAAGGAACTCATACAACTTAACACCAAAAAATCCTATTTAAAAATGGGCAGAGGATCTGAATAGACATTTCTTCCAAGAAGACATACAGATGACCAATAGATATGAAAAATGTTCAACATCACTGATCATCAGGGAAATGCAAATTAAAACCACAACGACATATCAACTCACACCTGTCAGAATGGTTGTCAATGATTACAAATTGGTACAGCCACTATGGAAAAAAGTATGGTGGTTCTTCAAAAAATTAAAAGTAGAACCACCATATGACCCAACAATTCCACTTCTGGGTGTTTATCTGAAAAAACTGAAAACACTAATTCAAGAAGATATATGCACCCTTATTGTTCATTGCAGCATTATTTACAATAGCCAATTCATGCCCCAGTGGAGCCACAGTCCATGGTCTACAGCCATCCACCCTGAACAAGCCCAATATCTGATCTCGGAAGCTAAGCAGGGTTGGGCCTGGTTAGTACTTGTATGGGAGACCACCTAGGACAACCAGGTGCTGTAGGCATAAATAATAATAATTAAAACAAAAAAATAGCGAAGATATGGAAGCAACCTAACTGTCCATGGATAGATGACTGGATAAAGAAAAGGTGGTACATATATGCAGTAGAATATTACCCAGCCATTAAAAAAAAGAATGAAATTTTACCATTTGCAACAACATAAATGGACCTGGAGAATATTATGCTAAGTGAAATAACTCAGGGCAAATTATCAGTTATAAAAGCAGTCACAGGTATATAAAGGACAGCATAGAGAATAGAGTCAATAATATTATAACTGTGTATGATGTCAAGTGGGCACTAGACTGATCGGGATCATTACTTCATAAGTTACATAAATGTCTAACTCAATATTTTGTATACCTGAAACTAACATAATATTGTATGTTAATCGTAATTGAAAATTTTAATTTTTAAATAAGTAAATGATAGTTACTTGTGTCTTATCAGCTTAGCTCTCCCAGAGCACAGTTCTGTTTCACTCTGCTCCCTGAGGAAGGGGTCCCTACTGCCCCCCATCGTCTCCTCCCCAAGCCAGTATTTACTCCACAGTGCTAACTGAAACACAAAAAAGATGGCCGAGGTGCTTTCTGCCCAGCCCTGTATGGGGAGAAACAGTCTAAGGCAGTGGTTCTCCGCTGCTTTTTTTATCCTTCAACCCCCACCGCTACCCAAGGGCTCCATTTTCAAGGTGAAGTTGCAATGTTGTAAACCTGAGGTGCCATCCTGTAATAGTCATTTGCTCCTCTTCATTTTCCCACCAGACCAGACCCTGCACCAAGACTGTAGAACAGATACTAGAGATGCACAGAGCCCCAAAGGAAGAAGGATGGCATCAGGGGCCACTCTGCTAACACTGGACTCATGGCTGGGAAGGGGTCTCAGGTCAGAGGAATTGTATTGAGAGTATCATATCCTGACTGTGTGAACAGGGCAATGGACCAGCGATTCTTAGTTTTTTCAAGCTGACTTGGAATGTGGCCCTTTTAGAACCCTTTCCCTAAGACTTTGAGTCCCCGGGTAGTTCTGGAACCCACCAGGAACTATAGCAGCCTACACAGATAAAGGAGGTCAGACGTGGGAAGTAAGAGGCAGAGCCTGTCCAATAGATGACCAGTGCTCTAGAGGAGGGAGACATGCCCAACAGGCGGCGAGGGCAAGGGATGGTGTCTACCAGGGTCAGAAGGCTTCCATAGGGTGCAAGTCCAGCATGGAGGGACCCAAAGGTGGTGCCAGGCTGATGGAGGGAGGCAGAGAGGCTGCCCAGGCTCAGGAATTGGCAGAGGAAGGTGCTGGCCCTGGCCGGCGGGAAGGAAGTGCAGTCCTGGAAGCATGTCTAGCCACAGGCAGGGCTGCAGTGCTGAGCTCTGCTTGCTCCCGACCAAGACGAGGGCCAGGACGAGGCCCACGGGGCCCCACACCCAGACCTGGCAGCCGCCGTCACACATCTACCCTGTACAGCAGGCCTGGATCCCGCAGGAATGGAGAAGCGCCTGAGTCACTGCCTCTGATGGATTCTGCTATTTTTATGTCCAAGTCTGGTTAAAAATAGCTGTCTAAGCCAAGGTTTTAGCTGCTGCTGACAAGACATTAAGTATTGGATACCTAATGCCCACAGTGATAACCGTGGATCTCTTCCTGTGTCCATTTTCTGTCTCTATGTTTAATGAGAAAGCAGGTAGGAAACAGCCTGAGAACACCTCAAGGTACTTCCCAGACTATGGGGCCCGTTGTGGGGTGTGCACACCAGGCACCCTCAGGAAACATGCCCAGGGCAGGTGTTCTACCATGAGGTCAGGCGAGCCTGTGGCCTCCGTGCTGTCTGGTGCCCAGGATGGGCTGCCTCAGTCAGGGCCAGAGGAAAAGGTGTCAATGACTGTGCCTCTCAGGCCCCTGGTACCTAGAAAGCACCTCACACTCAATCTGGCCTCCCCCTGCAGCACGCACACTTGGCCTTCGCTGCTCAACACTAAGAATGACGTTAGTCTAAGGAGCCCAGCAGTGTTTGAGGGGGTTCCTCGAGAGAAACGAAGGCATTCATGGCACTCGGAGCAGAGAGAGCCCGTCCCACATGGAGGCTCCAGGCCAGTGGGCCTTTCTCCTTTCTTCTCTCACCTCCCAGTGCAAAGAAAGCTGACAAGACACAAGCCACGGTGTAGCGTGGGACTGTGCGAGCATGTGTGAGCAGACATGAAGTGCCAGCCTGTTTCGACAACCTTCTTGGTTCTTAAAATCAACTGCCTCTGTGGTGTATTCAGAGTGGCGTGAGGAGCTAGAGAACAGGGTGCTGCCTCTCCTCAGCAGGTGCACACGGCCTCACCACTGCCCCCACCTCAGGCTTCCTCAGCGTGGACCCCACTCAGCCATGGCTGGGCCTCCCACGGCCAGCAGGCAACATGGGCTCCCAGGCAGGAGGGGCAGTGAGCTCCCACTGCACAGATCATCACGTGGCACCGACCTCCGGCCTTCAGCTGCCTGGGCAGTGGGTCCATCACCAGAGTGGCCCCGGTACTTGATGGCAAAGCCAAGTCAAAACCCCAGTCCCTGGAATGACAGGAACCTGCACAGGGCCTGGGGAAGCAAATCAGACCCAGTTCTAACAGCTGGACCCCATCACAGGCAGGGGCGAGCTGGGACTTCTAGAGCAGCTGTCCCCAACCCTTCTAGCATCAGGGACCGGTGCTCCTGTGAGAATCTAATGCCTGATGATCTGAGGTGGAGCTGAGGCTGTGATGCTAGCGCTGGGGAGCAGCTGCAAATACAGATGAAGCTTCCCCCACCCCCCTCTCCTGCTGCTCACCTCCTGCTGTGTGGCCCGGTTCCTAACAGGCCACTGATGGCTATGGATCTGCGGCCCCAGGGTTAGAGTCCCCTACCCTCAAGGACGTTTCTCTCATCAGGGAAAATGTATGGGAAAGTCTCCATTTATCCCTGGACTCAGAGCCTTCCAGGCTCCCTATTGCAATCAAAGATAACTGAAAAATAATCACACCTCAGAATCCTAGGCTCCTCATGACAAGCCCCGCTGCTGACGTCTAAAGTCCATGTGACTCAGGCCAGAGACCTGATGGCTGTGGTTCTACCTCATGTCCCCCTCTGCTCCAGCTCAACACGCAGGGTTGTCTGGAGCCGGGCAGCGGCCCAAGGCCAGAACTTCAGCCCCTCTGCTCTCTGAAGCTCTGGTTTGAGGCTGCAGCCCAGCGCATCTTTCCTGCTCTCTCTTTCTTGGGGCTTCTCAAGCCCTCGCTGAGGCCTCCCATGCCCACGTCCCCTGGGGCACCTCTGAGGCCCACAGCAGCTTGGCCAATGTTGGGCCCCCGGGTGGCCAGGGAGTTTCACCCCCCTCTGGCTGCCCGCTAACTGCCTGTCTGGTCTTCTCCCTTTTGGTTCTTCCAGTGAGAAGCGCCACCTTCAAGTCAACGTCACCAACCCTGTGCAGTGCAGCCTGCATGGGAAGAAGTGCACCGTTTCCGTGGAGACGAAGCTCAACCAGCCTCAGCCCGACTTCACCAAGAACCGCTCGGGCTTCATCCTCAGTGTGCCCGGGAACTGACGCTCACCTGATGGCGGCCCCACCAGGGAGTGGGAACAGTGGAGCGCGGAGCATCGCCACTCAGCATCATAGGTCCCTATCTAATTGCTGATCCCTGCTACTGCCCTGTAGAAATCAGCTCACGAGAGTCCTGCATGGGGAGGAACCCCTCTCTGCCTTCTCTCAGGCCCCTCCCCTGAGGTCTTCCTGGCTTTCCGCCTTTGGTCTCCATTTTCCTCTGTCCCAATGTCCCTGCTCAACAAACCAAAGACCCCAGTGCCCTGCCCCAGAGCCCTGGGCTGACATCCAAACCACATCTCACCTCAGAGGCAATGGGATGGTGCCTTCAGTTGGTGAAGGCCTCCTTGGACTGGCCAGCTGCTGGCCTGTCGGTGGTGGGAGCCCAGGACAGTTCACCCAACCAAAGACATGTTCCCCTAGAGGGCTTGGTGGAGATGAGCTGGGGATATAGCCCTGCTCCCTCCACGAGCCCATCCTGCCAACCCTCCTCCCCAGAGGTGATCGTGGCCCCCGCAACCTGGCTCAGGATACTTCTCAGAGTTCCTCAGTGGGGCCCCTCCCACCAGCAGCCAGCCAAAGCCACCAGGTGAGCAGGTTTACCTGTAGGGCCAGCCCCTCAGCCCAGGAGCCAGTGGCCTGCAGAACAGCCCTGCCCAGCTGGCACGCCTCCTGGCCACCTCTCCAGGAGAGAGCAGTGGGGGATGAATGCTCCAAGGATCACCTTGTTTAACTATGCAGGCTGAGCCCATGCATGCCTTACACTTATTTTTGCAGTTTGCAGAATTGCTAATCAGGTATCATGTCTGATGTGCCCACACTCATGTCAGGAGCACTAATAAGAAAATGGAGTTACAGGGGCTAGGGGAGCACTCAGGCGTTTGGAAGTTTCCCCCTCTAACACCTCCATTGCTTACTCATCTGAAGAACTAGGACTGGGGTGGGAGGGTCAGAGCACAGGAATTTTGGGAAACAGAGCGATAGAAAGCAGAGCGTGGGGTCCTGACACTGCGGGCCAGGCCAGGATGCCCACACCCGCCCCACATAGACCCCTGCCGCACAGTCCCTGGCTGCTGGGCACTCGGACCTCATGCCAGGAGAGCAGCACCGTCTCGTCAGTCTCTGCCCAGCAGAAAGCACACGGCTTCATATGCCTTCCTGAGACCACCCTCCTCTGGTGCCTCAGCTGAGGGGGATGCCACAAACCTCTGGGCGGCCTGGGCCTCCCTGCCAGGAGCCTTGAAAGAAGAGACTCACGGGCACCCAGGGTGATGAAGGGCCTGCGGGTGAGCCCACACCTCAGGAGGAGCCTGGCAGGGAGTAAAAGAGGGACATGCTGAGATTTTCTTTACTTTCTGCCACAGATGCTGCCCCCGCTCCCTGCCTCCTCCCCACATGGGCCCATCCTGCCACCATGACCCCACAAAACACACCAAGCACCTGAGTGTAGCCTCCTGTGCCTCACCCGGTGCCTGACATGGTCACCTGGCTGACCGCCCCCAGGTGGGTCAGCAGCCTGATCTCATACGTACCTCCCACCCCTGCCCCCACGGCTTGCAGACATTTGCACTAGTGCGCACTTTGCAGCAAAGAATCCTATTGGCGTCCCGTCCGTGGAAACCTGTTATTCTCCAAGCCTGGCCAGCTGCCTGCACAGCACAGAGGCGCCACCAGCCCAGCTGAGCAACGCTTACAGTTTTGCCAATCACCTTGACACTAGTTGAACCATCTTAACTGGAACATCGCCTCTCCATTCCACTTATTTCCCCAAACTTGTCGCTTACACTAGATACATGCAAATGTATGTTTTAGGTATACCGAAGTGGAACATGCCAAATGAGTGCCTTTCAGAGGCTGGAGAGGAGGAAGGTTTTGAGTCCTTTCTCCTGCCTTTTGATATTACCTGTGGCCCCTCAGCCCAGCGCCAGGGCCTCCCAGCTGAGGACCAGAGAACCACCAGCTGTCAAAAGCACTTTTTCGTGATGTCCTAAGAGAAGTCAGTATGGCAACTGAGGGAGGATCAGGAATTTAGGGCGAGACCATGGTAGTAATGCTCCCAGGATGCCAGGGGAGAGCAGGACACAGTGATTGTATGCAATGAAGTGTTTCTCTCAATTTGATTAAATGCAGTTTATGGTTTGGTGCATATATTCCTATTTTCCATTAAATTAACTCTATTTCTAAAGCATATTTTGATTTACCATCAAGAGCAATAAAACATTAAATCTTATTTTTAAAGGTGTTCTGCTTATCTGTAATTAAAAACTACTTATAATTGTTATATTTTAGCTTATATAAAGTCAACTATTATCCCAGAGGATGGAAGGAAGCATTAAGCACAATTAAGGTAAAGTGGAGGATAATTTTCCTGAGGCTTTGAACAAAAATCTTACATAGTGAGCAAGAAGAAAGCTGTAGGAAGGAATGAGGGGGCAAAAGGCAGTGGGATTTACTCCACACACTTTCTTCTGCCATTTTGAGGCCTGTGCGCCAGACTCACAGTTCAGTGCCGTCGTGTTTACTGAAGTCAAAGCGTGTTTATAAAGGAAAAGCTAGGATTCCTGTGGCTGTAGCTCCAGGAGAGGTCTGAGTGAACGGCCCCGCCCCAAGCTGGCTGGTTGGCGTACGGTGGGGTACAGGAGAATGAGTGAGCAAGAGAAAAATCGGGACTTCTAGGGGGAGGGGGTGCAAGCAAACGAGGAAAGGCCCTAGCACCCCAGGGCCCTGCACCCACAGGATGCCACCCGGTCATCACCTGGAGAGAATGTGCAGTGCGTCTTCTGTGACTCAGACCAAGGAAGATGCCCTGAGGAAAGCAAGTGGCCCTTACTACAGGGCTGACAGCCCCCCAGTTGCGACCTGGGCAGAAATGTCTTCCTAGTGCCTGGGGCAGCTCCAGACCATAGGGGCAGAGCCTGGGGAGGACCCAGTCCACAACACCTGCTTCCTGAGGCTGGGGCCAGCGGCATGAGCGGGCAGAGGCCACTGGCAGCACAGGCACACCTCGTTCTATTGCGCCTCACTTTATTGCGTTCACAGGTGCCATGTTTTTAACAAACGAAGGCAAGACCCTCCACCAGCAAAAAGATCATGACTTGCTTTATTGCGATGCTCCCTTCATTATGGTGGTCTGGGCCCAAACCCACCGTACCTTGAGGTATGCCTATACGGCTGGAGGGGGTCCCACAATTATGAGCAGGGTAGCTGCTTATCTGGAAGCTCCGGGGCTGGAATTCTCTCACAGAAATGTGCATGAGCAACACTGACAGGGTTGGGCCACATGAACACCAGTCCACTCCTGCGGGCCTGGGAGCCTCTGGGCAGTGAGCACTGAGCTGAGCCAGGCCCAGGACACATAGGGGCAGCGGCCTTAGAGCCAAGCTCCACCAATGGGGATCCACGGCCTAAAGCCCCTGAGGGACCACTCCGCCAGCCTTCCCCAGGCCATGCCTGGGTCTGGTCCTCCCTGGCCAGAAGTCCTCATCACCTAGGCCACCAAGCAGCTAAACCAGAGTTGACTTAACCTGTGCTTCCTTCTTAATCACCTTAACATCAGTGTGCTCATTAAGCCCTCTTCCCTAACCCTGCCCGCCTCCTCTCGCCCATATTCCCCTCCCCTCCCCCACAACACAAATCCAATCATGTTCTGAGAACAGGAATCATTTATAAAAGGGGCCCCCGGCCTGCTCATGAATGATGTGCCCACAAAACAGGTCTATGTAATGGATGGTCAGTGCATTTTATTTAATCAGCACAGTACAAAAATAAATAAAAATAAGGAAAGGGGAATTAAATTACAGCCAAACTGAGCTTCATGACCTTGTCAGATTATAAACCACACATACTTAGAAACACACTACACATACATACAAAATGAGACAAATATAAATTAATATTAACAATACCCACAGTTTGGTCAAAGAATAGCTACAGAAGAAATTGCACTAAAAAACCAACACACATCACACATTGTGTAATTAGCAGTTTCAAATATACAGCTATGAATAATTCTGAGTGAAAAAAATGGCACATTTTCTTCTCATTGCAAGTTTAATAACTGTTGGAACAAAACTAAATTCTAATAACTGCATGGAAAGAATATATCAACCCTCCAGCTTTACAAGAAAGAGAAAAACCAAATCCTGAACTATTATTCCTGTGACTTGTTCTGTGCACGGGTGTAATTTTCACAGCCATCTGTTCTAAGAATATTTTTCTGAAGACACAAAATGCTCCTGGTTTGCATGCACAATATCACTGTAAAAGCAACAATTAAAGAATAAAGGGTTTTTTTTATCGGTTAGTTTTTTTTCTTTTTTGTTGTTGTTCTAAAAGTAGTCTTCATAGCAGCATGTCAAATGGGTTCATTGCTTGCACACTCAAGTGTATCAGTTCCTTTACACAATACTGATGACCAGTACAAGGGGAGGGAGGAGAACATGACAGGCTTCACATTGATGGAACCAGAGTTATTTCCTTAGTCCCCAACCACTCCTGAAATTCGCACCTCCTCCAAAAAAATAAAAAAATAAATATGGAGAAAGAGAAGGAAACACACAAAACTGGAATCCTGTGGATGCGACTTAACCGCAGTTTCAGGCCAAGTTCGTCCTGCCCACCGAGTGTCTGCCACCAC